CCCCCCCCCCCCGCCCCCACCCCCCCAGATAGTCTGGGGGAATTGTGCAATACTTACGCATAGCTCTGATGTTTCGCCCTCTGGCTTGGGCTCATCCGGCATGTCATACGGTCCTTCTTTCACCTTCTGCACGGTTTTGAACCACAAGTCCTCGCCTAGGACATGCCACAACAAAGTCTGTATAGATTCGTAAATCGACCTTGAAATCATCTCATCGAGTGCATCACGGATTTTTCGCCAATGTTCCAACTTTCATGTTTACAAGATCCGTCCAGCTTGGGCCCAAATTGAGCATTTCGACCTTCGCTTAGCTACTTCGCAATGAAAACGAACATAATTTCGCATCAAGTAATGGGAAGCCTTCATTATTGGATCATTTTGCCGAAAACAGAATCTCAAGTGTGTCGGTATACGTGGCCATGTAGATGTTGGAGCCAACCTTGTCTCAATAAGTGCATGACATGGTTGATGCGCAATGTCGACGGACATCAAAGAGAGTGAGCACCTTAACACCACATTGTAAATGCAGATGTGTTGGCAAGTGCGGTCAGGCGCTTCGACTGGTGATACTGGTGGCTGTAGCAGCCAGGATTCTCGCAAACGATATTTAGCCAAGTGTTTCCGTTGACATGACCTTGGTCTAAAGTGGTTCAACTTGAGGACGCGCAGTGCCGCAAGTTGACGGAAGCGGCTTGCATGTGTTTTATGGCGTTTGTGGGATTTGTTTGTGTGAGGAGACTTGCTGGCAGTGTAGACAAAATCTCAGGTCTGCATGAAGCAAGCAGCACGTTTGGAACAGATGCATGACGATCTAGACAAGGCAGACTTCAGTGTGAGGATGCAGCGTGATGCTTTGTTGTGGTCAGTTTGTCATAGTTCGACTTTTCAGAGGTCGCAATGCATGTTGAAGCTGAATTGTGCAAATCCTTGACGAAAATAGGAGATGTTCACAGTGAACTTTGGCGGTTGTCAGGCGAAGCAGAGTGAACAAGACGCTCGCAAGGCAAGCGCATGTGATTGTGCTTAAAGCCACTGGCACTGTTGCTTCGTCGCGCAATTGATATCAGGAGCTCGAAAGATCACGTCAAGCTTTGGAGTGGGAGCCTTTTTGGTTCATTTTCCCGCTAAAAGTGCTCGCAGTCATGGCTCGTGTTGAGGCAAGAGCGTGCGGAGTTCGGAGACAAAGTGGAGCAAATGGCTGCGTTTCAGGCTGCCACACTTTTGGGTCTTTTGTTGTGATGACTGGTGTCGTAGTTTTCCTCCGCTACTTGGAGTTTTCATGCCTTTCAGTGGGCATCACACAGCAAGGAAGCTTGAAAGCAGGAGTTGTGTTGAGACTGCTGCACAGGCCGCATTGCAAAGAGAAAATGATCTTTTGTTGGAGGCATGGCAGTGCTTGTTGCTCGGTCGAGTCACGTCGTTGAGCAATCTCGAGCTCGTTCGACAGACATGCACACATGTATAAGCTGCCCAGTGACAGCTGCAGCGTCGTGCATGAGGAGCTCATCTCCGTCTTGGGTAGGACAAAGGCCGCTCAGCATTCAAATGGCGACAATTCCACTGATATGGTTAAACCGAACGTTATACTTTTCACGGCGCATGAGCGCATGCAGCACTGTTGCACTGAGGCACTTAGAGCAGAGATGGCCCCTTCGCGGCACTGGGGTTCTTTTGCTATGCTTTAGTGTTCCCGGTCCAAGGTGTGGCTGCAGCGCTTCCTTCCTGCAGCTGACCGTATCTTGACAAGTCACCCACGCAAACGATTTCAGCCCGACAACGATTGACTGTTGATGAGAAACCATGACACGCAGCATGTTCGCAAAAGCTGAACAGAATTTCCAGAGATCCCAACAGGCTTCAGCCACACACTCAGCCCCATCCCAGGCTCCACTTCGACCAGCAAGCCATTGCAGAATGGGACGTGGCAAGGAATCCTCGCTTGCATGGCTTGAAGGCTTGAACTGAGCCTCGTGAGTGTTCTTGGACTCCAGGATGCGGGCCGGCTGCAGGTCTTTCTTCGCCTTCAACCCCACAGGCTGCATAGTTGTGCTTCGTTTCCAACGCCCGCCTTTTCCTCAGTCGGAGTGTCTGACGAGGTCGTACCACCTGCTGCCTTCGCAGGTGTGTGGAGGCCGCTGGCTTCAAATTAGTCTTACTGTTTCTTGCTGTTGCTGTGGTGGCAGTGGGAAGCTACGCAGTCGTTCAGACTGAGCTATAGTGAATTGCTTGCTTGAGCACGAGCCTTGTGCAAGGCAGGGAAGTTTCTCTGCTGATCCATCTGTTCCAGTACGCCGTGCATCGGAAGCGACTTGGCTGCAATCCTTCGCTCGTTGTACAATATGAATCGGACCTACTGCAAAGTGGGGGGCACTGTGCAATTGGCAGACTTTGCCTCCGTGTCTCCCCGGAGGCGGTTGGCAGAAAACTTGTCCACCTGCTTGGTGTGAGTGCCACTGACTGTGTGCTACAGCCAACTCTACGGAGATTTCGTATCCAGGTCAACGAGCGCAGCCCCCCGGAAGCAGCGGCATTTTCTGCTTGCCGCTTGGAGGAAAAAGGGAGAATCCGCAAAGTGGGTCTGGAGCAAAGTCCTGCTGCGTACGAGGCAGGCCTGCCCTGGCCCACCAGCAGAGAAGCCCTGTCTTCGTGTGAAAAAGAGTGCGAATCACACTGACGCACACCCATCATACATAGAATCTTACCAGGTCATACCATCTTGCAGTTTTGTGAGCGTCCTGTCCGTTCAATTGATCCTGCTGCTTCGGCTCCGAAGGGATGCAAATAGCGCCTTGGGCAATGGCTGAGAAGGTGGCACTTCAGCGGCTTAAAGGCTGCAAGGATCGGACATGAAGGCCGATGGGAAGAAGTGTGGAGTTCTCCGACCGATGCGAGCTGCTGCCCGAGGCTTGCAGAGACTGACGAGCCAATGCGTTCCAACCCGAGTCTTGCAGTGCACGGTGCCAGCTGAGAAGAGAGTGAGTCCCCCAGGAACGGAAGCTGGGCTCCTGCCTGAGCACATGCTCTTGAGCAGACACCAGACACTGTACACTGGTAAAGATCTCGAGATCAGTCAGGTTTTTGCCGAAGACCGGCACCAGCGCTTGGGTTCCTCGACTGGTTCCTCGGGTGCCAGAGTCTCCGCCGAAGGCCCTCAACTCGGATCTCCTTTGCATCTTGTGGGAGACTTCTTGTCTCGGTTCTTTTCAAAGATCATCCAGGCGGCCCCTCGTCGGCGCTTGAGGCATCATTCAGAGACGCCCGCTGAGGTTCCCCGCCCCCATGTTAACTTGTAGCACTTGGGTCTACCGTGGACCTGGTGCGAGGATCTGTCCGTGGTTGCCTTGCCAATATGGTTAGGCAGAGGCCTCGGAGCGCATGGTTCTCCCTCCCCACTGTGTCGGCAGCACATCCTCCGCATTTCAACTGCGACTGAAACTTGCGACCTAGGCAGTTCAAGCCAGGAGATCGTTCTGCTCAAGGACATAAAGAGCATAGTACCTCGGCAGCACGGCAACTGCGTGTTTATCGAAGCGATTGGATTCATTCACGGTCTTTCTGCTCCAACGATTGCAAGCATCAGTCATGCTTTGGTTTTTGCTGGCTTGAGGTTCCGGAAGACCTTCATCAACACGTCTTCAGCTTGGCATGCAGTAATGTGACACTTGACTCGGAACACGTTTGCAGTCGGCAGCAAGAGCATGTGTCTCTCCGAGGATGATGTTATTGCGATAGAGGAGGCAGAATCAGATGCGTCGCTTGGAGCTCGAGCTGCCCTTGCACTAGGCTTGCAGCAGCTCCATAATGCCAAGGTTCTGTGCCGCTTACCGGCGATTTGTTGATGCTGCAGAGCATCTGGAACAGGTCTGGCGCCCAAAGAGATGGAGTACCTCAGGATTTACGCAGTGAGAATCCTCCAAACGTGAGGCTGCCACGCATGTTGTTCCATCGCCGTGGTTTATTGCATGTTAGGGACGGTTTATCGTCTTTTGCTCGCATTGGTCTCGGGCAGCACGCAAGCCTGGCCCGCCTATCTGAAAGTGTGTTCCCTTCCTTTCTGATAAGACCAGATGAGCGAACATGACAAATTACACGGTGTCTTTCAAGGCGATCTGTGTTCGACAGCAGCTTCTGGGAGACGACCACGAAGAACTCTTGGTCTCGATTGAAAAGTACGTCCCGGCACTCAGCATGGAAGCTAGACTGTCATTGACGGCGCAGCTACTCTCCTGTATCGCTTCCTGCTCCGCATCTCTGCATGGCATGCTGTTTGGTGCCGTGGCAAGAGGCTCTGGGTGGGGTGTAGGTGCAGCGGAGGAGTGTTTGCCTTTGACAAGAGCCGCTATGGGCAGCACAGCACACCAGCGGGAGCTGTCCTCAGCACCCTTTGCCTCAGTTCGTGTTGTGAATTTTTATGTTACGCAAGGGCTGTTCGGCCTGAACCAAGGATGGAGTTCCACTGATGAGGAAGAATCTGTACCTTGCCACCGAGCCCGAAGAAGCTCGACAGGCTGCTCTGCGACTTCGAGCACTTGGTCTTGAGCCTCCGCGCGCACATCTTTTCAAAAAGTTGGCGCAGCAAGCGGAGTCCGCGCAGAGCCACTCTCGAAAAGAGCAGGCCGGGGGCCCGAATGGGCCCGATGTTGTGATGTGTCCCACCGCCGATCTCTGCATACCAATGCTGTTTCAGGATATCGCTAGTTCGCCGATGTTCCTGCGCCCCAAGCTGAGAGAGTTATGTCAGCGGCAGTCAGCGGCCTTCATCATGTTGGCATGTACCAGGAGGCGGAAGCCGTAAAGCGAGAGCTTTGGACCAAGGTCGACGAGGGTTTGATCTCTGAGTCGAGGCAGCTTTGACTAACGAGAACGAGGAACCTGTTTCCACACTTGGCTTGTGCTTCGTACGATCTTAGAGCCGTTAGTGGATTTTCTCAGCCTCTGCCTGCGCATGGGTCGGCCTGGATCTATAGCAACGGCAGGGCTGCCCCCCCCGGCATGCCCAGCTTTCCTGCACTTGTTTTTCCCATGCTGCATGTCTGTCGGTGAGAGCCGGAGTTGTCGGTATGCAGCTGCCCGCCGAATTCAGTGGGTTGACCGTGGTACAGCACGTTTTCGGAGCCATGAAGATGGCATCCGTATGACTGACAGCCATCGGATGGCAGCACGATACTTAAGAAGCAAGCGTCGTGACTGCCGCAGACTTACACTGCCGCCGACGTGGCCCAAAAGGCTTGCGATGTTCGCCTGCTGTGTCGCTGTGTCAAAGCATCATTGAGCTGGCCCGGGCAAGAGCTCTGACCAGCCCGAGGTTGTCTCATGCAACGCTTGGGGCGTGCAGTGCTTGAGCGCAGGCGAGCATACATGCAGACAGCTTGTTGGCTGTCCCAAACTCGTTCAGTGGTAGGCAACTACATAGCTGCCCTCGAGCTTTTCAAGAAGGCCGAGGCAGAGAATCTTCTTTCGGACAAAGCGCAGCATTACATTCTGGAGTTCAGAGGCCATGACAGAAGCTGACAATGTGCCCAACTTCAAGCGTCGAGTGGTCCTTCGTGCCGTGACCTTCAACAACCTTTGTTGCTCCCAGTCCGAAATTTTGGGTATGTGTTGAGTTTGTTTTCACAGCAAACATAACATAATTATTCGATCTGTTGCAGTCATCTGCCGGTACTCCGAAGGTTATTACCGCACACGAGGGAAGTTGAATGCCGCCCTCCAGCCGCCAGTTGCAAGTTTTGAAGTGTGCATTCACCTTTTACTGGCCAGTCTACAGCAAGTTCTGAAGAACCTACACCTGCTTGTGCTAGCCTGTCCCTATGAGCAGTGTTGGCATGCCAAGGTTTGCTGAGAAGGCATTGAAAATTGAAGAGAAGTACAAAGAAGCCGACAGTCCGGCAATGGGCCCAGGAAAGCGGCCTTTGCCACACCCAAGGATGCTCTGAAAAGCTCTGTTGCGCAAAGCCACTGCAAAGGCCCGCAGCTACCTGAACTATGGAGTTCTTCTTAGCAACAGCGGCCCTGCCCTCACTGCGCAAAGCACTGTTATGCATTATGAATTGTCATTTCTTTCTTCTGTTTTCGGCTCTTTTCTCTCTTTGTTAGCTCCCTGCTGCGGCCGAGGCCGACATGGCGAAGCTCTAGAGCGTGTGGAGAGAGCTTCTTGGAAGCATGGGTCCTCGCAGTGATTGGGGTTGCACAGTTGCACATCAAGCGTTTTGTTTTTGTGCGGACTTGTGAGCATGGAGTGGGGTTGGAGGTACCTCCTGATTCTGACATGATGCAGTTGAGTCACAGTGGCATGGCAAGAGAACGCAAGAGAGATGTCACACAGTCGCAGAGGCTGTCGCAGTTCTCCTTGATCAGCACCGGCATGAGGAAGCTGAGGCAGAGTTGCAAGCTAGAGTCGATGTATGATCTTGTGTGCATCCCTGCCAAGTAATCCATTGGTTTCATGATTCATGGATCTTAGAGGCGACTCAGAAGCCGGAACCCACAGAGATTTCTCAATTGCTGGTAGTGCGGCGCTCGGATGTCCACGGCAAACCAAAGAGACACAGAGGCACATGCAAGACCTGTGCAGGTTGCTCACTACAACATGTTTGTGGAGCATCTGCATCTGAAGCAATTTGCGAGCAGTCTGGGACTTCAGCATGGCACACTCAGAGGCTCCCATAATTTGACTTGCTCGCCTTCCTACACCGAGGCCTTCAATGTCTGCAGCGTGCTGTCTCCGTCGCCCAGAACAAACTGGGAACGTCTTGTCCCAAAATCGTCTTGCGAAGGGCGGGGATCATGGCCCACGGCAATCTAGCGCTCACCGACTTCTCGCTTCAGGTCTCACACGCTGACGACAAAGATGCAGGAAGTGCACGCCGAGGCTCAAGCAAGGCTTGAGCGCAAGGCCAGGCACCTAACCATGGCTTGTGGAGAGAGTCGGTCATTGCTACAGTTAGAGGAAGTTGTCATGGCAGTGTCTTAGCTGGCTGGGCTGTGCAGGGGAGCATTTCTCTTGACCAGGCTTCGGCAGAATGCTTTCGCACGACGGCCGCAGCTGTGGAGTCGTCCCCCGTGTTCTTTCACTACCAGGACCTGAAGACCGGTGAGCGTTTCTTGCAGATCCCCTTTGTGCTGCCTACCAGGACGGACATTGTCATCCCTGGCAAAAGGTTCACCTCTCGCAAGCTGACGCTGCACGCGTGCCGTCCTCGGTCGGACCTACGCTGCCCGAAGTAACGCACGTCGTTGAGTCTGCCATCGCCTGTTTTTCTTCTTCTGAGTTCGTCCAAGGCGCAGGAGATCTTGGCGGATCAGAAGCAGATTACGCTTCGCCGCCTTAGGCAGGTCTGCTCCGATGTGCTTTCTCAGCTGGGAGCGGCTCGGTGGAGGCCCCCGGATCCAAGGCCTCCAGAGAAGCCGCGGATTAGGAGCCGCAGGCCAGATCAGAGTGAGGGATTCAGCATCTTAACATATCTTAACACTTAAAGAGTGCAAAAAACCCCAGGCCGAAGCAGCAACGAGCTTGGAGAGCTTGGATGGAAACACCTTGCTAGTAAAGAACCGAAGCAGAGCCAAGGACCAGCAGGCTGCCGGCCATTGGGGTGGAGGTCACGGGCCGTCACTTGCAGGAATGGACCTAGCCTTCACTTGGATGGAACACGCTCCAGCATCAATCCAAGGCTTCTGGGAGTCTCATCCAAAGCTGTTGGACACGGAGGGATACGCTGGCTCGCCCATTCTGACACAGCAGGCCAGTCTGATTGGCTTTGTGCTTGTGAATCTTGATGGGAGAGGCTGTGCTTTTGAGGCGCATGGCGCGCAGCCGATGGTCGAAGTCCTCGCACTGAAGCAGCTAGCTGGAACCAGTCCACGCGGCGGACGAGGCGGGTGTGCAGAGCCGGACTGGGGCGTCACGCGGTGGCTTGGCTTACTGGCCACGCCTGGCGAGGTGGTGCCGAGAGAGAAATGCCGGAGCCTGTGTGTGGTCGAACTGCACTGCTACTGGTAGCCAGAAGCTGCGAATCATTGAGGTCGCCTGCAGATGATGTGCGGGACTTGCCGTTGCTTTCTGGGCGCCTCGTTGTCGCAGTCGCATCGCCAGGCCAAGGCCGCCACACAGCCAATGCCTTTATTTAAGCGGGGCTTTTTGCATGTGTATGCTTTGCCATGTTTTGCAGGGGGCCGAGATGCTTCGCTTTGCTTCGCTTTGCTTCTCTTCGCTCAGGCCACTTCTCGGACCGGGACGGCCTCAGATCGTTCCTGCTCCGTTGCATCCTCATTACGGCTGTGTTTCTGCACCCAAAGAGCAATGTTCTGTGACCTCAAGGCCGGGAGCCCCGTTGGGACCCTAACTGCAGCACAGAGTTTGCGTGAGCCCACGTGCCGTCTTTGTTCTGAAGTGCTGGCTTGCGGCTCTGCCAGGCAATTGCACATTTTGCACACAGACGATAAAAAGCTTTGTTCCTTTGGCAGAAGCTCCTGTTCTGTGAAGTGCATCATCCGAGGCCAGAGGTGGTTGCTTCGTGGGAGTATCATCATCGCAGGTCTGGAGCATGCGATGGTGATCTTTACTACTGTTGATGATTACTACAGCTGTGAGTTATTCATTTGTCACGGTTTTCACTATTGAAGCAGCTTTGAAGAACTACTGTGAGCGCAAGACGTGTCAGGGGGCAACAGCACGAAAGGTCAATGTAAATGCAGCTTACAGCCCATCTGGCGCTTTGTGAGAAATATGCAAAAACTGGTGTGCACGCAAGAAGCGCGAAAGAGCGTGCACATGGTGACTCATCGCAACAATTTCGATCAGCCGTCGTTTGACTGTCTTTCTCGAAAGGCTGCAGATGCTTGACGAGGGTAACGGCCTGACAGCGTTGGAGCTCGGATCTGAGTAGAAGCTCCATGCTGTCTGTCGCATCAGAATCCGAGCCCTGCGGCATTCGAACACAGTATGCAAACTGCATTGGCGAAACAGTGAGGCCTCATCGGATGCGGGCCATAACTGTTCTGCGCGATAGGCACATCAAGCTGCAGTAGTTCGGTGCCACGATTCTTTGGCAGCTGTTTCGTGGAGTTATCGGCAGGCTCGACAAACGCAGGGAGAAGGGCCTTCCTGCACCGACGGACTACAGGAAGCATCAAGCGGCCACTTGCATCCAGGCACCATTTTGCCGCCAATCTTGATGATAACGCATCAGTGTTCAACAGCAGGTGCACACAAAATAAAGTGCAGAGTATGGGCCCAATACCGGAAAGGGCCACACCCTGTGTCGCAGACAGGCTGGCATTCGTGGCTACTTGGTGCGTCAGTGGACTTCGCAGGAGAGCCTGACAGAGCCGTCCACCATCCGGTTTAGTTCTTTGCTTCTGTCGAATCCTTGCCCCTTCGCAGCTTCGGATGGCTTGTCGGCTCAATGGAACCATACTGACTCTCAGGCAGTGTTTGCTCTTGAACAGAGCCCGCATGCTCAGCCCGATGTTTTGCTGATGGTTGACTGTACCTTGAATGCGAACAAACTGTCATATTGAAACGGCACTCTGGCATTCGGCTCATGTCCAGAGGTTTTGGAAGCAACAGGGGCGACCGAACTGGAGCAGATCTTCGGGCAGAGCTTTGGCACTCTTGCTGCTTACTTTACTTCCGTTGGCAGGGGAGGACCTCCGTGTGCTCGCACTAAGAGCCACAAAGCAGATGGCGATTCCTTTGTATTCGCGGGTGCACCAGCTGCAGTTCGTGGCACCATTGAACTTCTCGGAGGATCTGGCAGAGATCCAGCCATCTTGCTTGAACAGCTCTTCAGATATCAGGCGACGCTCCTCCCTTGCGTCCCTGAAAAGAACGCACACTCCAGCGACAGAGACGGACGAGCAAGAAACCTATCCGGATGCGCTTCGGGACAAGGTTCTGATGGCTTTGAAGGTGTTGCACTGTAATGGTGTCAGATTGCCTTTGCATATTAGAGTCTTCGAATCACCTGGAAGCAACTTCCGCATGAGGGGGTACTTCTACGTACGTTCGAAAGATGGCAGCATTGAGTATCACCGCGGAGGCTCGGCGCCTTATCGTCATCGGCAGCACATCAGCATGAATCAGGCCATGGCCCAAATTCAGCAATTTCTGCCAGAGTTTGGCTTGTGTCACGGCATTGAAGAGGCTCTCTTTCATGTTTCCTCGAAGCGCGACGTGCTGGTAATGCTGGGATATGATAAGATCCTACCTTCATCCTGGGCATCCAAAGCCAGGGCGCTGCATCGGCGGTTTGGCTTCCACGTTGTTGGCTCCATTATTGGTAGATCCTGGTGGGCCCGGCGACAGGGCAGAATTTCTGTGCTGCGAGACCACCTCCTGGAACAGTTCGATATTCAGGGCACCAGGTTGCTGTACCGCCAGGTCTGCTTCTGCTTCTTTTGCTTTGAGGCACGGGACAACTGCGTGTTGCGAGATTGCCCACCGTCCCCCTGTCAGGTCATTGGGTTCTTTTCTCAGCCAAACTATGCTGTTGCACATCGAATGCTTGAATGGGCTGTCAACAGTACTCGCATCCTGAACGCGTCGCATGACCTCATGGAGCTGTACTGCGGGAGTCTTGCTTGCATCGGTTGGAAGGCAATGCTGTGAGTCTCTGTTGTCGTACTAGACACGTTGGACCAGTGCCGAGCATAGATTGCTGTCCGCTGCTGAGGGGTGGCTTCTTCTCTGTAGCCCTAGCCAGGAACTTTCGGAAGTGCATCATTGCAGACAGCAGTCGTGAGCTTGTACAGCTGGCGCGACAAAATCTGGAATTGAATGAACTTCGGAATGTTCAAGCATTGTGGATGACTGCCGTCAGCATGTTGGAGTCTTGGAAGTCGAATTCGCTACCTGGTCTGGTTTCTCCGAACACGCTGCTCGTTGACCCAACTCGCCACGGCCTGGACAGTGCCGTCACTGAAATCTTGCCAGCTTTCGAGAACATTCTGTACATCAGCTGCAATCCTCGGACGATGGCCCGTGATCTGCGCACCACAACTATGACCCACGATGTGAAGGAATTTGCATGTTTCGATCAGTTTCCAGGCACGGACCATATGGAGTGTGCAGCTTTGCTCACTCGACGAAAAGGAACGGCACACGTTGGACTTCTGAGTGAGTGAACTCTGCAGCTCCTCTTAGCTCCGGTTTCAGGAGCTGGCTCGCGAACTGCGTCGGCAACGTTTACTCGAGGCCGAGTCCCCTCAGTGTCCTCGGCAGCTCGCCACTGATGTGTCGACGTCTTGTGGACGAGGCTTCGGCCGGTGAGAGACGCGGCCTCAGTGAAGGACAGCATGCGAAACCACAAAAGGCTGCCGCAGGCGTCAGGAAGCATGAAGCGAATGAACAAGGTTCCCCGACCACTGACGCCAAGAAGAGGATGGCTTTTCGAGCCAGCCCCTGTGTCTGCTCTGCTATTCGAAGCCCTTACAAGCCCACTGCTGGAAAGCTGTGGTCGGCTGACTGCAGGTCATCTATGCCGCGCGGCGCGCCTTCGTGGAGCTTGACCCTCTGCACTTCCTTGATTGTGCTCGGCTTGCATTGTCGAATATCTGGACAACACGAATAGCACGTGTCGCCGAGGTACAATGCAGCCGTGAAGATCCAGAAGGTTGCTCGGGGCAGCATCACAAGAGCCAAGCTGAACAGGCCGCAGATGCGTTTCAACAATTTGCAACAGTCTACAGACATGTTTCAAGATCCAATATGCAGCGCTGCAGTCACACACATGATGGGCTGCAGCCAGGCAAATCAGCAAGATCGCACACGCTTCTGCTGCCAAAGTGCAGGCATGCGGCATGTCACCCTCGCACTTAGACTAATAACATACTGCTTCGTTTCGTTGAGGCACTGGTGCGTGGGAGATTGGCGAGAAGCAGCTTGAGGCAGCTCACCATGTGTGGCGAGCACGGTCATGGCAATCCGGCAGTCCGGTTGGCAGGAGGCAGTCCGATGCGGCAACCCGAATCCAGGTGGTCGGGCCTGTACATGGGTCACCCTGTGCAATCAGGGATTTACTGGCAAAGAGCTGTGATACCTGCTTCGTTGCAGCCTTACGCCCGGGGCCTAGCAGTCGATTGGGCTGGGGTCTATCAGGGTGGGTGTGGACTCCGGCATTGATGGAGGAGCACATCTACGAAGTAGGTGCCCGCTACACACCCGGCCCCAAAATGCATACCCCGGGTCAAGCAGGGCTCTTCTCTTTTATACATGCTGACTCCTAACTATACCCCAACTGTACCTCAGCGTGCCCGGGCCCATCGCCAGCCACAGAAACACGAGACGGGTCGCAGTGGACTGCAAGGACTGCAGTGGACTCCTCCTAGCTATGTCCCACCGCTGCCATTGGCCCAAATGTACATCCGAAGTCACAAACAACTGCTTTGGCTGCTTAAAACCGCGGGTCCAATGAGGCTATCGATGCGCTTGCGACACCCGACATTGCCCCGGCCCACCCTTTGCCCGAAACAAAATAACCTGTCAGGAAGGTCTTGGCCCTTGCATCGCAACAAGCCACAATGAGGGTCTCCGGTCCGGATACGGCCGACCTACGGATCTCAGTCGTGATTTGCCGCGTTTCCACACACGAAATGTTGCTGTGCCGTGGCGTTCCCTGTCTTTCGACAAATGTTTGTTACATGATGCCGTCACAGAAGGATTACTTGAGCCGAGGAACCCCTCCACCCAGGCTTTGTAAAAAGGGGAGCACCAACACTACGACCCTGTAAGTGTACGTGCCAACATGCAGGAACACTGATGGTCCTGGAATACATGTCAATCTCCAATCGCGCAGAGCCCAAAGATGTGACCGTGTGGCCGCATTGTCCCGAAAATCCGAGGCAATCTGATGTCAATGTGCCATTTGTTCGCTGGAGTCCCAGGGCTGGCTGACCGATGATATTGGGCCATTTGCCGACCCTGCAATCCTGCCGTAGCATTGGTGCCCCCCGACAGACGAAGAACCACACTTGCCAGACATTGAGATCACGCGACTATTTATTGGACTCCCCACGATTGGAGTCTGGACACGTATTTGGCGTTTGCATGCGTTTGCCAAGCATGAGCACCCCTGTTCATTTTGATCCAATCTCTGACCTGCATGGGGCCATGACGTCTTCGGAGCCCCATGCCCCACTTGCATCTCAACCCGTATGAGCGGAGACAACGTGGGTGCCCATTCCCCTGCCAAGGGATGATCCATCTCTCTCTTTCTCGTTGCAGGCCTACGCTCGGATGCGGGCGGCCAAGCACGAGGTTCACTCTATCCGTCTCTCAGCGAGGCTGCATGCATTCATGCTTACAGTGTCAGGCAGCAGAACTGAAGAAAGGGGTACAGCTTCCCGCGAGGCACAACGCAGCCGTCAAGATCCAAAAGGTTGCAAGGGGCAACACTGCGAGAGCCAAGCTGAAGAGGCCGCAGATGTGTGAAGTCCAAACACATGATAACACCGTGAAGTCGCCTCAGCCGCACCGATGGCCTGACGTCAGGCAACTCAGCGAGATCGCACATTCTTCCGCCACCAAAGTGCAGGCATGGGGAAGGTAGCTGTCGCCTTTGCACTCAGACAGTGCAACTCGTATCATCAACAGGCTCTGGTGCGTGGGAGGTTCGTGAGAAACAGCTTGAGGCAACTTTCCGTGTGTGATGGCCGTGGTTGGGCCGCATCAGAAACTGTTCAGTGATATCCGTGCCAGCAGGAGGCAGTCCGATGCCGCAACTCGAGTTCAGGCGCCTGTTTGGGGCTTGTTTGGGCGGGCTTGGTCAAGTCCTTCGCCTCTCGTTGCAGGCTTATGCAAGGATGAGAGGTGCCAAGCACAAGGTGGACTCTTTACGTCAAGCGGCAAGGCTGCTTGGTTTGCATTCGTGCTGAACAAGATCTCGAGTTGCCTATGATCGGGCGAAGCGATCCGGCAAAGCCATGCTCAACGAGAGCCCAGTGTAATTTGTAGAAGGGCCGAAGACGTGGGTTTCAGGTTGGCCAACAAGCTGGCGCGTGGTTTTTTGGCCCGCCGGAGAGTGCGAAAGCTCCGGCAGGCCAGGCCTGGAATTGAGAAATCCACCGATGATCGGTGTTGCTCCGAGAGTGATAAAGAGAAACTGTCTCCAAAACTGCTGCGACAACCACAGAGACAGCAAAGGTCAGGGAAGTTTGCCAGGCGTTAGCATTTCACACGAGCAGTGTGGACAACGACATCTTATTGGAAGCGTGGCCTCTATCAAAGCCGCAATCAGGCTCGCTCAGAAGAAGCCGAGCGCCAGGCAGATTTTGCAGTCCATCTGGCAAGACATTCCACATGGCTAGAAGCTGTTCTTGCAGGGGGAGCTCATTGCACTGCGGAGCGTTGCTTGGAGATGTTTTGACAAGCCGTACATCGCACCTTTCGAGGCGGCCCAGTGCGATGCTGCCCTTTGCTCGGATTCTCTTTCTTTGTGGCCTTTGGCCGAAGTCAGACGAGCTTGAAGGTCATGGCTGGCATTCTGGAGGCAGGTCTCAGCTCGAGGTGCTCCGGCTTCTACTGGTGGTTGTCGAAGATGTCGTCGCCTTGCTTGGCGAAGCCCGGCAGGTGCAGCAGCCCCGTGGACCTCGAGGGAGCCTCCGATGCTTCACCTGTCGGGGCCCGAGAACTGAGAACTGTTGAAATTGCCAGAGAGCACCAGAGGGTACCACAGCATTGAAAGCATTGAGGGCAGTTTCTGCCGACCACAGGCTGCCAGTCCACGCTCCGGGCCACAGGCAGCCGTCTCGACGCTGACTGCTGTGGTCTTCGCAGTTTTGTTGCCGTTCTGAAGCGGTCTGGACGAGGCACCTGCGGTGCAGCCGCAGCAGCCAAAGCCTATGCCTTTGTGTGATGTCCCTGCATCTGTCCTGTGCTTTGGGCGCTGGTAGAGCTGCTGCTGTCAAGTCGAGCTGTTCAAAGCTTTGGATCTGAGGCCCGATTTGGTGGCATTGCACGAGTCGCACGACGACGAGAGCTGCAGGCCTTTGGGATGCAAACCTGACCTCCAGGCCTAACTACCATCTGCACATGTGACCTGTCAGAACGAGGTTGCAAGCGCATGATGATGGCAGTGAGCGGGACGCTGTGGAGCTCTGGTCCCAGATTTATTTCCAGGCTGCATTGGTAAGTAGTCTGAGGCTCCGAGCCTCATGTTAGTTTTAAGCTTGAGGCTGTCGAATTCGATCATTGAAATTAGGATGCCGCTCTTTGGTACATGACTGATGCTGCTGTGTTGTTGAGAAATCTTTCGAGCAGTACAGGCATCCACACTTCACAAGCTCGCAACTGGAGGCGATTGGGGCAGTTGCAGAGTCACGGACGCAGCAACTGCTGCAGATATGTGCCCTTGCAGGCATCGCACGATTCGATGGATGCCAGCAACTTGTTGGAGGCTTGCACTCATGTTACAGAGTCATTCAGTTTTCCCTAGATCTTGTGCCGACTTCTCGAGGATCTGGCATTGCAGGACCCTGACGCTGCAGAACATGATCACTTCGCAAGCTCGCTTCTGGAGGCGATGCAAGAGAAGTCGGTAGTCTTCATGCGGAAAGTGCGAGATGCAGATGCCTTGAGGAGTCCGTCTCGCAGGAGGACTCTATCAAGATTGTCATAGAAAAAGCGGAGCCTTGCGAACCGGACGAGCCCTTCGAAGATCAGGCCCGGGAGAACCAGGAATTGGTTTGGGGTTGTGGGAACCAGGAGTCGAGCCGGGTCACAGCTGTTTGTCGCTGCTCATCGCGTTGTGACAACGGCACGTTGAGTCACATGCGAGAGCCAGCCAAGTTGCGTCGCAAGGACGAGGCGTCTGCAGCACTCGTGCAGTCACTGGTGGGGGATGCTCTTGGGGACTCCATGGCATCTCGATTGATGACTCCACAACCAGAGGCAAGAGCTCCATGCATCCCTCCCTGGTCTTTGCGCCTTCGGCCCCTGAGGAGTCTGAGGGCTTGGAGGCGTCGCCTAAGTCTGCCTCAGCCTTCAATGCGTCTCGGGACCGGGCTGAAGCTTGGGTTGTTGTGTTCCGTGTTGCGTCCATTGTGTGTTTTTCGAGGACACTGCTTGGACCCCCGATGACCTCGTTGCGAACGTGATCGAGGATGTCGTAGAGCTCGATGGCCCGTGCCAAAGACAGCCTCTAGCTGTGCGATGCAAAGTCAGGATGAACACTCTCTGCAAGGAAAGCCAGATTCCACGCAAGATGCTGGCAGCTTCCCAACCTCGATGGAGGACGCTGCGTCATCCCGGGTGGAAGAGCACGCGTAAAGTAAAGCATATAACTCACTTGCCTTCCTTGCTGGATCGTGGCCTGTGCGCCTCGCTGCACTCAACGAAATCTCAGCCAAACTCAGTGCAAAGACCTGATAGGTCTTGCAGAACCCAACAGTGTCTCGCATGTGCCACCTACTTGGCGGTAACCGGTGGACGCAGCAACAAAGGATGAGGATGGCTTCCGCAATACAAGGATTCTCGATTTCACAACGACGCAGCTCTCGACAGGGTTGGTCCTCCTGAAATCAAGCTCAGCAGAAATTCTGAATGTACAGCAGATGTGTGCTTTATGCTGTATGCCCAAGACCACGACACACCCGCTGCGCAAACCAGCAGTGCCGCATACTTTCATGCGCGAGGATGTCAACGCGATGGACCCGCTGCTTGTGGAGAAGCTTCAACAGGCACTCCTTCAGGCACCCTTGGATCATGCTTTTGGGGTTTATGTGCCCGCAGGATGAGTTGCGGTGGTTGCAGTGAGTTCGTCTGAGGCAGAAGAAGATCCGTGCGATCAATCTGACCCTCCCGGTCATCCAGATGAGTGGCTTGTCTACAGAAGAAAGGTTGAGCTTTCATCCTGCCGAACACTGGGCCGTGACTCAGGATACCAGCCGATCATTCATTGCCAGCGCTGTTCTGAGCTGCTTTACTTCGTCAGAACTTGCAGCCGCTGCTGTTGGCCGTGGCTTTGCGCGGTTGAGCAGAGCACATGACCGGTCATCGAAGCAACTGCAGGAGGCCGAATGCGATGCTGCCCCATGCTTGGATTTCCTTCCCATAGATCGCCATTGCTACAGCTGAGCGCCTGTTTCTTTGTTTTAAGCGGAGCTTCATTGAAGGTCCTAGCTGGCATTCTGGATGCCGGTCTCGGCTCGGGCTCCAGGCGGATCCCGATTCCAGGGCCCTTGGCACTTTCACCTGGGTGATTTGTGGGGGGAAAAGTGTCCAGATGCAGCAGCCCCGTGGACCTCGAGAGCGGCTCCAATGCCTCAGGCGCTGAGGCCCGGTAAGGGCTGGGACTGGGAGAACCGCATAATAAGTGAAGCTTAGGGAACTGTGCCAGTTACAGTTTGAAACTGCATAACCTGCCTGTGTGGCATCGTGGGTGGGCTCGAAAGCCTTTCGGTGTCGTGCAGGGCCAGCTATCTGGTGGGCACTTGGGAACTCACAAACCCCGGCTGGAGGAGGTCGCTTTTCGTCGAGCTCGAAACAGCTCGAACAGATCACATACAAGCATCGTGGGGGCCATGTGCAGACAGCAAACCTGTTTGTCTGACTGCTGTTCGGTGCACCGAGCGAGAGCATCAGTCTCGTTTTCAGCATTCGAGATGTTGTTGTTTCCTGTGCTGTTCTAGCATGCCTGCACATGGCATGGGATGGGATGGAACGGAGACGGGGATGGGATACGTGCCATCTTGGCCGATCACGCTTGAAGCGTTCTGAGGCTTGTTCACAGGAAGCTGAGCACGAGGCAAGCCCGGACTGACGAAAACTTGGTGCGCATGACACTGCTCCTCAGTTGGGCGCACGACAAGCTGCGCAATCGTGCCTGAGCAGTGCGAACGTGTGTTTCGAGGCTGCGCAATGCGATGCTGCCCTCTTCTTGGACTCTCTTCATCTTCGTCTGCAGTTTGCTTAAGACGACCATGGAGGTCATGGCTGGCATTCTGGAGGCAGGTCTCAGCTCGAGGTGCTCCGGCTTCTACTGGTGGTTGTCGAACATGTCGTCACCCTGCTTGGCGAAGCCCGGCAGGTGCAGCAGCCCCGTGGACCTCGAGGGAGCCTCCGATGCTTCACAGGTGCACGGGTGCCTGGGGTTGGGAAGCTCGGATTGGGCGGACGTCTGAGCTCTCGTGGTGTGCTGCAACTTCCTCCAGCATCGAGCATCGCAGCTTGACACATGCATCTGGACACTTGAAGGCGTAAGGATATTATAATGGAATTCGGCTTGTTGTGTGAACCGTCACATACTGGTAGGATTGGATGTAGTACCAGCGGCAACCACAGAAAGTTTGTCTTCCATGTTGGTGCATGTCAGTGAATGAGGAAACAAATCCACCCCCTGTGATTGGATGCTCTCTGGGCTCAGGATGTGTATCCTGGATCCCTTTGCTCTAAGCTGTTGTCAGGAAGACATGGATGTGGCTCTGGTGGAGCATCTTCACCAGGCAACTTCGCGGAGCTGGGTGAACCACACGTTCGCAAAATAGCTGGTCGGACTCTCTCAGCAGCTCTGGGGCTTCATCAGATGTTTACAGCATCCGATTTGCCCTGAGATGTTACTGTTCTGTGAGGCAGACGACAGCGGTGAATTGCTGCCCAGCAATTTGGATGAGCGACTCGCTGGCAAGATGAATTGATGACATCCCTCGAGTTGTGGTGGATGAGCGACCCTACATAGCCGAATGTCGTGCTCTAAGGACGCAGGCCAGTCACGCACGGTTCCGAGCTGTTCTCGTGAGGATTTGAGGTTGTTGCATTGCATGTGTACACGACGTGACATCACGCATAAATGTCATGGGCCGAATGGATGAAGTGCCCCGAAGCTCTGAGAACTGTAACATGGGGAATATCATCGCCAGAGGAGGATCATGACCGTGGCGCTAAGAACAGCAATCGTGCTGCAAGAGTTCATGCGGGAAGCTTAGCCCATCGTGCCTGAAGTGTTCCGAGGCTTGTTCACTGGAAGCTGAGCACGAGGCAAGCCCGGACTGACGTAAATTTGGCGCCACATGACACTGCTCTTCAGTTGGGTGCATGACAAGCTGCGGGGTCGAGCCTGAGCAGTGCACTCGTGTTTTTCGAGGACAAGGCTTGGACCCCCGATGACCTCGTTGCGAACGTGATCGAGGATGTCGTAGAGCTCGATGGTCCGTGCCAAAGACAGCCTCTAGCTGTGCGATGCAAAGTCAGGATGAACACTCTCTGCAAGGAAAGCCAGATTCCACGCAAGATGCTGGCAGCTTCCCAACCTCGATGGAGGACGCTGCGTCATCCCGGGTGGAAGAGCAAGCGTAAAGTCGAGGAATGGGGAGAACTCGACTCTGCTGCCAAAACATATAGCTCACTCGCCTTCCTTGCTTGTCTGTCAGCAGAGGATCGTGGCTTGTGCGCCTCGCCGCACTCAACGAAATCTTAGCCAGACTCAGTGCAAAGACCTGATAGGTCTTGCAGAACCCAACAGTGTCTCGCATGTGCCACCTACTTGGCGGTAACTGGTGGACGCAGCACCAAAGGATGGCTTCCGCAATACAAGGATTCTCTCCAAAACGACGCAGCTCTCGACAGGGTTAGTCCTCCTGACTCAGCAGAAATCATGAATGTACAGCAGATGTGTGCTTTATGCTGCATGCCCGAGACCACGACGCGTGACGCACCCGCTGCGCAAGCCAGCAGTGCCGCATGCTTTCATGTGCGAGGATGTCAACGCGATGGACCCGCTGCTTGTGGAGAAGCTTCAACAGGCACTCCTTCAGGCACCCTTGGATTATGCATTTGTGGTTCTTGTGCCCGCAGGATGAGTTGCGGTGCTTGCAGTGATTTCCTCTGAGGCAGAAGAAGATCCGTGTGATCAATCTGACCCTCCCGGCCATCCAGATGAGTGACTTGTCTACAGAAGAAAGGTTGAGCTTTCATCTTGCCGAACACTGGGCCGTGACTCAGGATACCAGCCGATCATTCATTGCCAGCGCTGTTCTGAGCTGCTTTACTTCGTCAGAACTTGCAGCCGCTGCTGTTGGCTCTGGCTCTGCGCAGTTGAGCAGAACACAGAATTCTGCCGGATCAAGCATGAAACCCTGTCCTGAGAACCACACGAACTACGGGCCCCATGCTTGGGTTTCCTTTGCATAGATACTTTGCTCACAGCCGTCCCGATTGCTGTAGCTGAGTGGCCCCCTGTTTCAAGCATGTCTGTTTCAGCCTGGGAGAACCGCACAATCGCCCGTTTTGGACATGCAAGTGGCGTTCAAGTTGATTTCTGCATAATCGGCCTGTGGGAAATCGTGGGAACACTTTGAAAGTCGTGTGGTGTCGTGCAGTCCCAGCTATCTGATGGGCACCAGGGAACTCAACCCCAGCAAGGGGAGGTCGCTCTTCGCCCAGCCCGAAGTAGCTGGAACAGGTCTCGTTTACAGCATTCGAGATGTTGTTGTTTCCTGTGCTGTTCTAGCATGCCGCCTGCACACTGCATGGGATGGGATGGAACGGAGACGGGGATGGGATAGGTGCCATCCTGGCCGATCACGCTTGAAGCGTTCCGAGGCTTGTTCACAGGAAGCTGAGCACGAGGCAAGCCCGGACTGACGAAAACTTGTGCGCAGTCGTGCCTGAGCAGTGCGAACGTGTGTTTCGAGGCTGCGCACTGCGATGCTGCCCTCTTCTTGGACTCTCTTCATCTTCGTCTGCAGTTTGCTTAAGACGACCATGGAGGTCATGGCTGGCATTCTGGAGGCAGGTCTCAGCTCGAGGTGCCTCCGGCTTCTACTGGTGGTTGTCGAAGATGTCGTCGCCCTGCTTGGCGAAGCCCGGCAGGTGCAGCAGCCCCGTGGACCTCGAGGGAGCCTCCGATGCTTCACAGGTGCACGGGTGCCTGGGGTTGGGAAGCTCGGATTGGGCGGACGTCTGAGCTCTCGTGGTGTGCTTGCAACTTCCTCCAGCATCGAGCATCGCAGCTTGATACATGCATCTGGACACCTGAAGGCACAAGGAGCTTAGGCCTCACAGTGTTCGGCAGCTATGCACTTGTCGCAGAGCAATGCAATTTGGGGCCATGTACGTTGGCTCGTCAAAGCACAGACTGCGAGAGTTGACCATTGTTCCCACAAGCCATGTGGTGGTTGGATGTAGTCGATCCCAATGCCAGGAGCCCATGAACCCTCTGCTGATCGAGGAGCTTCAGGCAGTCGCGCAGGCACTGATGCGAAGGGGTCGGGCAAAGCAAAATAAAAGTACAGGAGAAGCCAAAAGCCAAGCCTTCACGCTGTGTAGAACATCATGAACAGGGACCTTGCTTTATGATTTATGAGGCAAGCAAGAGAGCACGGGCAAAGAAAGAATCACGTAGCTTCGCTCCGAGACACGATGAGCTTCGATTTACTTTAGGGCTTTAGAGGTTTAGGGCCTCAGATTGGTTTAGGGTTTGGGGTGTTTTCCCTAAGACAGAGGCAAGAGCTCGCAGCTAGAACTTCTCTTGACCAGCAGTGGGCTGGCCTTTGCGGGACCCATGGATTGATGAGAGCCGAGTGAAGGAGATGTGCTAGATTGAATTACCTGTTGCGAGGCAGCGAATGGTCAACAAAAAGCTAATCTCTTGGCGCGGTGCAATCGTCTGTGGATTTTTTTCGCTTGGGAGCTAGTCTTGACCGTGCCCTAGCTTGTCTGCATGTTGAACCAGTGGCTTAGCTTGGCACTGTGAACGTTTCATTCTTGGAGGCGGATGATCAGGGCGATGCTCTTCCGTGTCACCTGACCGAGTGGCTCGTCTGCGATGAGGCGATAAGTTCTGAGTGGGTCCGAGGCATGCGACGGAGGGGTCTTCACGTTCCATACTGCGATGCCATACTGAGGGCACCGTCCAGTCAGGCAGGGCCGGAGTCATTCGCCGACACGTGCTTGCCTTCGGTCAGGGGGTGTCTGAAGCGTGACTGTGCAGAGCGGTCTAAGCACAACGGTTCTCGATTGACAGACATCTTCTTTTGAAGAGGCTCTTTGAGTGTGTGATAGTGTGTGTTTGCGCCAGACTTGTTGCAAAAGTTTTGTGTTTCGGTTGCAAGCTGTGGGTGTGTCTCAAGACTGTTTACGAGTTCAAAAGGGCCCGTTTCTGCAAACTTCAGTCCCTCCGTAGCAATTGAAAGCTTGCCCAGCTGCGCAATGCACAATTGTGTGGTATGTTGTCACGAGTGATGTTCGTGCCAGGCTGCCGTGGACCCCTTGCTGATGGAGCAGCTTCAAGCAGCCGCGCAGGCACTGCTAAAGCCGCCCAAGTGGATGTCGAATCA